TGTAAAACCTGAAGAATTAAATTCAGATTTGGTTAGTACTGCTTAAGAGTGAAAAATTTAAATAAACATCTGAAAAGTCCCATAAATTAAAATTTGTAATATTGTCAGTACTAAAAGAAATTATGTACAATTATTTCATCCTAATCACTGCGTTTTGAGTTTAATAACAAAAGCACTTTAAGAAACCCCTGTGGAAAGCTAATTTGAAAGTAAACATGCCTTAAAACTTAAACACAGATCTCGTATCAGTCCCACAACAGGATCAAGATCACTATTAAAATAAAGCCTGGGGCACATTATGATGCCTAAGATTGGTGGGTGGATTTTAATTGACTTGAAGACTGTCATCGTTCTATTATCAGAAAACCTGTAGCGCATTTCCAGCATGGGGGACCCATCTGTGCCCACCGTCCATCTGTTTAGACATGATTGGCAAAGTGGTAGGGAACTCGCAGTGGTTGCCTCTGCCTGAAAGGAATAAACCACAGGATCTTCCAACGAGTGCCAAAAACTTCTGAGAAGGTCTGCTGCCATGGCTTTCGGGGCCTCGATCTACAGAAGACAGCATTATTAGTGAAAGACAGCACTCCCATGGTGCACTTCAGTCAGCTAAAACAATACAGGTTGGCTGGGGATCCATTACTGGACTCTGATGAATTGTGTCCCAGCATCACAAACACAGCTTTTCTTTCATTATGGCATGCAGCTGAGTTTTAACTCTGGCTAGCAGATATTGTATTTGCGTCGTCAATCAACCTAGGGTAACTTTTGAAGCAGAGGAGAATTCCAGGATTAACAGAATGTGTGTCAACACCACAGAAGCAAATCTCTTTTGATGTACTTTCAGGACAAATCATTTAACTTACTTTAGTGAGCCAAGGAACAAGAATGATCAGTACTTATTCTGTATGAAAACTAGCATGGCTAGAAGACCCCTATTGTAAGACTGTGGTTATGCCTGTCTAGCTCAGGCCTCAGGCAAGGTAGAGAAAGCCATCATTCTATTATCTTCCCACTACTACATGCACGCATTTTTCAAATGTGGCCAGTGGATTCCATTTTTAATAAGAGCACTACAGACTTCACTTTTATACTTACATTTCTTCACAACAGTTTGACATCTTTTCAATAGATGTTGTATCCTATTAAAAATTAAAAAAAAAAAACTCAGATGTAACAAAGCTTTCAAGACTTTATTCTATATTAATCTTATAATGTTTTAAAATCATATCCAGAACATATTCTGACAATTTAAACAGTTTATATATGGGTAATAAGATCTCCAAATTATCTATAGACATTGCTGAAATTCCTTTGGAAAAAACAGAATCAACATTACATTGTACTCCCACCTTACAAATATTACTCAATTACAAAACCTCACAAAAGTTTTCAGTATACTTGCTTCCTCGACAATTCTTTTAAAAGTCCAGTACTTATTTTCAATTTAACTGTCAGTGACTATGCATGAAAAATATATACCAAAAATGACAAATGAAAGACCCTAATGAACAGACAACTGCCAAGGGCCCAGGAGTGCTGCTGGTCTGGGTTTCCAGGAGCAAGTGGATTCACAGGCACTGCGCACCCACCGCGACGCCCAGTGCCCCAAACAGGGCGCCTTGGAGTTTTCTATTAAAAAAACAAGGATTTCCTTGTTTCAACAGAAAAATCAGTCTCTTCATAATAATACAATTTCTTATTATGTGTTTTCTATACAGCTCTAACAAATATGTAAGAAAAACAAGTCAACAAACAAAAAGTAGTTTCTAGACATGCTGGCTTAATTCATATTAACAGAAGATCTACCACTAGATTGAGAAAGTGTGATGATAAATAATATCTAAATAATCAAAACAAATGACATAATCGTAGTGTAGATAGTTACATTTTAAGTATAATTTAAAGTAGTATAAGAGAAAGTATCTTCTTTTAAATATACCAAAAAGTTACACAAGTTTTTTTCTTCCTCTCCTTTACCAGCTTGCTCGTGTATAGCAGGTGAACTGTACTATTATTAAGCAGTATTACTCATGCAAATATTTGTGGTTTCCACTGCAACCCCAAGAACTTTTTTGGTTGTAAAACTTTCCTCCAATGAAACTAATAAAAAGCACCTTCACTTTATTTTATTTATTTATTTATTTATTTATTTATTTATTTATTTATTATCCTTACTCGAGGACATTTTTCCATTTTTTGTTCAGATAGAGTGGGAGGGAGAGAGAGAGAAACATCGATGTGAAAGGGTCACATCGAGTGGTTGCCACCCGCATGACCCAACCAGGGCCGGGGACAAACTGCAACCCAGGTACGTACCCTTAGCGGGAACCGAACCCGGGTCTCTCTGGACCACAGGCCAATGCTCTAACTGCTGAGCCAAACCGGCCAGGGCAGCACCTTCACTTTAAAAGACTTGTTATAGAAGTTACATGAATAGCTACAATATTAATTTCTTATATATGAACAGCAGAATAACTACAGTTAGCCCACATACAGAAAAGTAAATCTTGTTTTTAGATGTTTCAGTAACTAATAACAGAATTTTATTTCCAGATTACCTAGGAATTTGGGACAAGATTGTAGATTAGCTATATATTCTATATTAATTAGTTTTCCTATTGTGCTTTGAAATTCATAGTATCCAATGACAATTCTATTTATAATTAACCTTTCTTGGTTCTGACGCATAATTTCCTCAAAATAATGTTTTACTTTGTGAAACACAGTCTGCAAATACATGACAACATTGATTGGGTGTCAGGAAAGCCGAGCCTCTGGTTTCACATCTCTATAGAGTGACTGAAGTAATGTTAATGGTGTCTTAGAACTGATGGGTGACAGGCTGTTCTAAAACAATTGAGATGGTGCAAAAATACAAACAGATAAGACAGAAGTCAAGTGCTATTAGTTAAGGTATATATAAATAGCCTAAAATTGCAGTTGTGGAAAATACTTAAAAAACCGGAAAGTATTTCAAGATAAAACAACAATTACAAGGTCACCCTACTATAACTAGCTAATATTATGGGAAATTTTTACTATGCAGAAATTTACAACTTGATTATAACTTATTTGTGGCTATAAAAGAATCAACTTTAAAGACTTCGGATTTAGACTTCATATGGGAAAAGCTTTTATTTTCAAGTGCTTGTGACATCTTTCTAGAACCTGGTTCAAGAAAAAGTAGACTACTGCCTATTAAGTCATCATAAACAGTTGGTTATTCAATCAGAGGATATAATGTTTAGTGTGACTTTATGAACACAATTTGTGAGTGTAGCCATAAAGGCTATTTTTTTCTCTAGGAACAGCAAATGCTTATCTCTCTGAAACCCAGCTATCCTGAATCCTGTTATAATATAAGGAAACAGTACAATCGGTATATTAACAACTAAACATGTCACAAAATTATTGCACTGGCATTTACACGATGTACTCAGAGCAACACAAGTTATACTGTCACATTCGCAAGCACAGTGGGAACAGCAAACTAGAAGGGGCAGAAGTTACTACTGGCTAGAACACTGAAAACCATAAGTTATTTTCAAGTGCCAAATTAGATTTAATATATCTTTTTCTATTTATAATGCAGGGAAATGTGGAATATTTTAGAAAAAAGGGACAAAAAAAACTAATTAGAATATATTTTGGTGAACATAATTTCACTCAATAGAAATGACTCAATACCTTTGGTGGCCATCAGAAAATGAAAAATAAGATAATTGCACCCTGGCCGGTTTTCCTCAGCAGTTAGAGCATCGGCCTGCGGTCCAGAGAGACCCAGGTTCGGTTCCCGCTACGGGAGCATACCTCGGTTGCAGTTTATCCTGGCCCCGGTTGGTCGCGTGGGTGGCAGCCACTCGATGTGTCCCTTTCACGTCGATGTTTCTCTCTCTCCCTTCCACTCTATCTGAACAAAAAATGGAAAAATGTCCTCGAGTGAGGATAAAAAAATAAAAAAAAAAGATAATTGCTATCTTTAAGGAATATATAAGTTATTCTTAGAAATATAGAAAATTCAGCTACCCAGAAAAATTCATTCTTCCAGGAATAATATGAAACAGGTTTTTATTTTGTTATGTATACTCGGAATATCTTATTTCCAGAGAAATATTTATGTCTTGATTATGGTCTAATGATCAAAATAGCTAATACCTTCTTCAGTCTGCATAATTAACAGATGTATGAGAATGTTTTCCTATTTTAAAAACTGAAAGTTTGCCCTGGCCGGTTTGGCTCAGTGGTTAGAGCGTCAGCCTGCGGTCTGGAGAGACCCGGGTTCGGTTCCCGCTAAGGGCATGTACCTCGGTTGCAGTTTGTCCCCGGCCCTGGTTGGTCGTGCGGGTGGCAGCCACTCGATGTGTCCCTTTCACATCGATGTTTCTCTCTCTCTCTCTCTCCCTCCTGCTCTATCTGAACAAAGAATGAAAAAGTGTCCTCGGGTGAGGATAAAATAAAATAAAAAAATAAATAAATAAAAACTGAAAGTTTATTTTCTAAAAAACTAGAAAAAGCAAGACTTACAGAAATATAGGCCTTACCTATTTTATCAACCAATACTTTATAATTCTCCTGATGGCGGCTCTTACCCTAAGAAATGATCTTTCAGGTTCAGCCTAAAAATATGATTATATTTATTTTTTTAAAAAGCTGTATGCTAACTAATAAGATTATATCTAACGTGGAGAGAAAAAAAGTTCCTAGCAGAAAAGAAGAGGGAGGTATTCATTGTGTACTAGAAAAATTGGCAGTGGGGAGTTAACGGGCAAGAGGAAGAATTTATCACCAGACATTTCCTGGTTGACAGACCTGAGAATTTGGTCCTCTGGGACAGATAACTTTGATGATACAATCCATCCAACTAACTTACCCTGCTTTGAGTTCATTCTCACCAACCAACACTTTGCCATATATGTTGTTATAGGAAAGAAAGAATGTAAAGAGTCCTTTGACACACCAGACAATCAGACATAAGGGAATACACAGTCAATCTGGTTTATATGACTATGACTATCACATTTGAGTGGGAAGTAAGAATCACTGCTTCACAGCCTCATGAACTGTGGAAACATTTTCAATCAGCAATAATCGCACCTCAGATAAACCTTATTGGCTACCATACTGCCACTGTGCAAAGCTTAGAAACATTTTCAAAATGGATTTTCTAGACCTGCCAAACTGAAGACCTGAGGAAAATAAGAACATTCTATCAGAGAGACTCCATGAAGACAATCCAATCTAACCTCAATGATCGCCTACACCTTTGTTCTTATATAGGTCTTGTCAATGCTTTTAACTGTGTTGCACATACCTAATTCAATGGCCCTGTTGATCTAATCTGGGCTTTAAAAAACGATTCAAAAAAGTTTTTCAGAACTAGAGATTACATACCTGTTTTATTTATTACTAATTTCTACTAATTGTAAGATAGACCATTGTTTAACTTTCTAGCACCTCTGATCAACATACGGACAGTAAGAAGCTCATTTAACTGTGTATCTTCCATAGCACCCGGCAGTACATACTGTTCAAAGTGAGTACTCAATATCTGTTTGCAGCACTAAACTAACTGAAACAGCATGATTCCTTAATTTATATCTGCGGTTCAAAGAGAAAAAGTTTCCTGTTAATATCAGCTCTCTCTCCTCCTCTGAAGTCAAACTCACTATACCCCCCATTTGAAATAAATGATTCTTTAAGTATCCATCTCCACAGAGGACCAGCTATAGCTTTTATTAAAAATATGAAATTCACAAAAGGATTTAATCACTCTTGAAAGCAAAGTGAGAGGACAGGAAATCTATATAGTCACTGAAAATCTTTTTTCAAATAATTCCCATTCTTCTTTTCATCAAGCCATTTTGGGGCTATATAAAACCTTAGGGAAGTTGCTAAAACTCTGAGTCTCAAATTTCAAATAATAATACTTACCTCATAAGTTTTTTGCAGGAAAAAAAGGAGTTAATATTTTAGAGCCCTTAATAATTCCTCAATAAATGGTAGTCTCATTCTTATCCATACTGCCTACTAAACACTTTCTGAAAAGGCTTGGCGATATAATATCTCAATTACATCAGAATACTACATTTAAAAATTATGTTTAAATAAAAGAGCGGCTTTTATAATAAAAGTTAAAATGATCAGGACTCTGGGAGACAGATAAAACCCAGTGTCCACAAGGGACTTATAATCTAGTTGAGAAACCAAGTACTAAGTACATAAACCAAGATTCATTTACTCATTTATCATCTATCAAAAATTTACTAAGTACCTATTACGACACAGTCCTTAGCATCAAGGAGTTTACGGTCTAGTAAAAGCAATCAAGTTTACAAGAAATAATTATATAGGAATATAGAGGATGCCAGAGAGGATAATTACACATAGTAATATGTTGTATAAATAAGGCTTACACTAAATATTGAAAACAGCTGAAAAAGTGTGTTTACAATCAACAGTTAAGACATTTAGCTCTGTGTGATACAGAGAACAGTACTTATTGACTTTCCTTACCTCAATTTAAATATAGTATTATAGTGGTTTTCAACCTTCCTAATGCTGCGACCCTTTATACAGTTCCTCATGTTGTGGTGACCCCCAATCATAAAATTATTTTCATTGCTACTTCATAACTGTTATGTCTTAGGCGACTCCTGTGAAAGGGTCGTTTGACCCCCAAAGGAGTCGCGACCCATAGGTTGAGAACCGCTGATTTAAAACATCAACTCCATTTCAAAAAGTTAAATAGCTCAACCACTGGCACTTGTTTCCTCAAAAAATTAAAAACTGAACGACCATTTGACCCAGTGATCCCACTTCTAGGAATATATCCTAAGACACCTGAAACACCAATCAGAAAGAACATATGTACTCCTATATTCATAGCAGCACTGTCTACAATTGCTAAGATCTGGATACAGCCCAGTGTCCATCAACAGATGAGTGGATACAAAAGCTGTGGTACATATACACAGTGGAACACTATGCAGCTGTAAGAAAGAGAGATCTCATCCTTTGAGACAACTTGGAGGGACCTGGACAGTATTATGCTAAGTGAAATAAGCCAAATAGACAAATACCACATGATCTCACTTATCTGTGGAATATAATGAACAAAATAAGCTGATGAACAAAACAGACCTAGATACATAGAAAGGAGTATGGTTCAGACCGACAAACCTCAGAAGAGGGCGGGGCGGAGGGGATGGATGAGATAAACCAAAGAACTTATATGCAGGTATGTGTAACCAATGGACATAGACAATGATGCTGGGGTGGGGTTTGGGGGGGGGGGGGATTGGGAGAAGGGTGTCTAGAGGGGAAAAAAGAGAAATATCTGTAACAAAAATAAATCAATAAAAATTGCAAAAAAAAAAAAGGTTAACTACTCTTAGATTTTTAATGCAAAATTATACTTTCAGTAAGATTTTTGGTTATCAGTAGCAGTAAAGTGAGCAAATGCACCCCTTTGGCTAGGATATGGGGAGTAACTAATATATTGATGAAATGTGACAGAGAGAAGCATATGAATCATTGTGGAAAAAGATCTACAAGTTAAACATGAGTCACTGTTTTCTCCAATCCTATGTTTTAAAGTAAGATTAAAAATTGATGTGGGAAAAATTGCAAATAAAAGAAAAACTCGTAAATGTTTAGCTTCCTAACCAAGTAAAAAAAGCATCTATTTAATCACTCAAGGAACCAGTAATGCTTTAAAAAAAATTAAAATGCACCATTACACAAATAGATTTCAATTGTTTTCCATTTGTGCAATGCTAGTTTGGAGTTGAGTAACCCAAACATAATTTGCACAGAGATTATATTGAATGCTGCTAACTCACTACACTGATTCAGTGGGACACTTGACAAAATTTAAATATAAGGATTAATAATCTCAGGACTACATTTCTGATATATATTAAAAGGCAGGTAAATTTACTACTGTCTCAGAATGAGAATATTATTTAATAGATAATCTCATTAAACTAATATAAAGTTTTGAACATAGATACGTTTCATTGCACAACATAATCAAATTAAAATTAAGTTACCCCTGGATTTATAATTCTTTCTGTATTTATTTAGGTAACCATAAATCAGTATTGTGTGTGGGGGGGGGGAGGGGGGTGCAATTTCCCCTTTTAATTGTTAAAGTTTTTCTTTAAGCTACCTTTAGTAATTCAAGTAGAGTCCAACAACAGAACCTGTGAGACCAAATGCAAATGCTCAATTTTTTCTTGGAGAATTTAAAGCCTTTTACAAAACTGCAAGTAAATACATCTTCCCCACCCTACCCTGAACCTCACCATAACTGAGAATAACAGTAAGCTCTAGAGACACCACCAAAAGCTTAAGCTATTACATTAACTCCACGGTGCCCACAAAACAAAAATGCTTGTATACAGAATTCAGAGAGCTGTCAGAGCAGCGTCACAGTAACAATAGCTCACTGTCAGAAGCTCGCCAGAAGGCGCTGTACCAGCTGCTACAGCACTTTTTGATTAGCTCTCTCCAAGCCCAGTGACCGAAAACATGACTGACACAATCACCCAGCACTATCCGCACTGGTGGTTGCAGGATGGACATTATTCTTGGCTGTGTGGGAACTACTGCTCAATAAGAAATTCTGACATCAATTACATGAAAAACAACATCACTATCATTTCATTCAAAAACAGAAAAAAAAAAAGGTTAAACAGTCTAAGTAAGAAATAATTAGAATAATCTATTCCCTAAATAATGAATGTTTTGGAGTTGATTGCTTTGAAAATACTTTAACCTCAATATTAAGTAAAAATATATAAACACATATATTTCTATTTAAATCCTGTACAAAAATGAAATGTAAAAATAATCAAAGGTAATCCTTTAAAATTGGGCTTAAGGTCAGTCTAGTCCACAGAAACATCTGGTTGTGCTGACTTTTAACCTTGGAAATGGGATTAGAAATCTACTATTTTTAAATTTAAGTAATTTCTAATTATTTTATCTGAGACAGATAATCTGCTCTCGCTAGGTCTAAAACTACACTGGATTACCATCACTGATTGTGCTGTTACTTTGCACTGTCAACGAGAAGATCGCACTTCTCTTACCCAGAAGAGAAAGATTTCTTTATTTCAAGTAAGAACAAATAATGGAAAAAAATTTGTTGAAAATTGATATTTCTTTCCTCAAAACTTCAATTTAAACCTTAAAGAAGTTAGCATTTGTTGTTTGTATGTTGTCTAATAGGCCTACATTCAAACTATGCCATTACATAGTTTATATAATGAAATTCTACTCTTACCAGTGTTTTCCCAAAATGCCTCTTGGTCTTTGGGGTATAGGAGTAGGGGAAGGAGAGAGACTTCATTGGAAAGATTAAATACACTGTATTTTCCTTCATCCCCCCCTTTTTTTTCTTATGCTACCTAACAAATTCATCACTTCTTTCACACTGTAAAGAGAGATGGGCAGATTCAGATTATGACAAAAACATGTCCAGGTTTAAAATTTCCTGTAGGTAGTCTTAATTTTTTCATAAAATGAAACAGCAAGCACGTTTTATAAAGAAAGTAAGCAAAATCTATGTTTTTTACTATAATTAAAATATGAAGTAGTTTTATATAAATGCTAATAATTCACTATATTTAAAATTAAATACTAAATGCATAACAACTTTAAATAACTAAATCTTAAAGAACCTTAAATCATTGTGTAGGGAAATATTTTCTAGAAACCTTTAAAAATATATTTTTTAATCCAAAAAGAGTGATTGATGTTTGAAGTTCACTATGAAAGCCCAGGTAAATGGAACTGAAATTTACTGTAATTTTTCAGAAAATCTGGATTCAATAGGACGTACACTGACTACAGATTGGACTAACAAAAAATTCATATTTTTTGTTTTTCTCTCTGTTAATACTTGCATTCTTTTATTTAATGTTTTACAAGTGTATAATTTTTACAGATGCCAGACCTCTCTAGTACAAAGTATTCTGAGAGAATATATATATACAGAGAGAGAGAAAACTTTTGGAGAGAGCATTATCTAACAAATGTGATTTCCACTCAGTTTTAGAAATAGCACAAGATTAGAAGCAATCTCTCTATCTTAAGTATGAAATGTTCATTATTACAGCAAAAAAGGACATTGT